CAGGAACGTGAGCGTGTGCGAGCAAGGGGCTCCTGGCTAAACTGAAACGTAAAAAGGAAGTGTACAGGAGGGGGAAGCGGGGACAGGTGACCCAGGACGAATACAGAGACATGTCCAAGCATGCAGTGATGGGGTTAGGAGGGTGAAAGCCCACCTAGAGTTGACACTGGCGAGGGCCCGGAAGGGCAACAGGAGGGCCTTCTACAGGTATGTAAGCAGCAAGAGGAAGGCTAGAGAAAATGTGGGTCTGCTGCTGAGTGGGACAGGGAACCTGATGACACAGGACAGGGAAAAGGCAGAGGTAACTCGATGCTTTCTTCACCTTGGTCTTTGTTGGCAATCCCAGGAATTCCAGGCCCCCGAAACCTGAAAGCATGCTTAACTAACCTTTTATATAACCTCCTGTGATGAGCTGAGTGGTTTTGTGGATGAGGGGAGAGCAGTGGATGTTGTTTATCTCAACTTCAGTAAGGCTTTTGATGCTATCTCCCGTAGCCTCCTCATAGACAAGCTGACCAAGTGTGATTCTGTGATCCTGAAATAGTAGTGAAAGGTGTGTCAACTCAGTCATTTTGTCTATCTCTCTGCTTATATTTTAAGCAGAACCTATGCTGTTCCTGACAGATTCTTGGCTGGATCTGATGAGACTGTTCTTTTTTGTAGTAGAGTCACTGCTCTCTGCTTAGTACTGTAGCCTGTGAGCTGGGCAACCCAAATTCGTCAAATTTTTCTGTGAGGATCATTCCTCCTAAAGTTCTTTTTATAGGTTTCACCCCAAAAAAGTCTGTTTGGCTTTTTTTTTTGTTTTGCATTCTGCTTAAAGTATAACAGCAAAAATTTGGGCTTGCGCTCCTGAGGTATGACAGCCAAAATTCAGAGCTGCGGTATTAGAAATGCAAAGCATAATGGAAGAGTTGCTCTGTGCCTTGCAGGTTGTGCTCCTGTTCATTACTTGGAATCATACAAGTCTGATGCCTGGCCATACCATGTTTTATAGGGAGGAGGGTGAGGAGGAAAGGCATTCCTTGACTGCAGTTGTGTGACATTTGTGTTGCAACCTTTCTCTATCTCTCTCTGCAACTGTATTTTCACATCTATGTGGAATTCTTTAAGTTTTTGTAAATATGTGAATGTTTTCAGATATTTACGTTTGATTACTGAGGGGAACACTATCAGCTACCAAAGTTTAAAGACCCTTACAGTTCTGTGCAACTTTATTTTCATCATCATAAGACAGAAATAATCAGAAAGCTAACTTCTAAACTTGTTTCCTCATTAAACTGTTTTTGTGAGAAGAACTGACAAGTCTGAGAGGAAGGGAAATCATAACTTCTTATCTAGATACTCCTTTCCTGAGCATATCTTCAGACACTTGATACAAACTGTTCTCAACTGTAGAGTAGTAGGAAAGTGAATTTTCCTCTTTTTCTACTTTCCTTTAATTCTGTTCTGCATGTTAGCTGCAGATTCATGTTATTTTTTGTGGTTTGAGGTAGGAACAGTTGACTTCACTTTTAGTCTTTTTGAGTATATCTACACTTTCAGTATGAACAAAATACCTCTTTATCTAATATGAGATCACATTTGTCTAAGTTCTTTGATCCTTTCTTTTCTAGAGTTTTATTCATGAAAGTGCAGGCTTTTATGAATGCATAAATTGCTTGGATATTCTGCACCATTTTTGTTAGTTCCTTTACAAAAGCCAAACCTAAGCTTAGGGAACTCTTCATAATTTGCATATGAAAAACCATAGGCGGTGGGTCTAGAGAGTTAAGGTTTTTAAAAATATTTCTTCCTTTTGCCCTTTCAGACAATCCGGTCAAGCTCCAGGCATTGGAGATGGCCTCCGTCAGCAGCTGGGGTCACGTCTTGCGTGGACTCTAACTGCAAGCCAGCCTTCTTTACAAAGCGCTACCTCAAAAGGCCTTCCTAATGCTCTTTCCCGCAGTGTGTCAAGGTCAAGGCGAGAAGGAGATACAAGTGGTAAGCAAAGATGCATTTGTTAGATCTAACTTCCTACAACTAAAAACATTGTGTTGTCTGTGTTCCTCTATTATTTTGAAATATTTTTGAAATAGTTTTATAGCATGTTGAAGTTTTTTGAGGAGTATTTTGCTACAGAATAGAAAGATATATATATATATATAGAAATATGTATCTATTTATATAGAAATAAATACGTAAGATAGTAGTGTATTTGGCTACACTCTCTTTGGTTGTTTGTTAGTTTCTTTTTTGCAATGATGAGTTTGATAATGTGTGTTCTGGCTCTTAAAAGACTGAATCTATGGCAGTGTGTGTCATAATCAAGTGATTGTGGTTTGTGAGTAGTCATCACTCCTTTGACGATCAAAAGATGCTACAGCTCTGAGAAAGTCCAAAAGAGCTCAATGAATAAAGCATGCTAAAATATATTAATCCATTTGTGATTCTTGTTTAAAACTTGAAAATGTGTATTGGAATATAGAGCCCTTAAAGCTATTATTTTTCCTTTAAATTAGCACACAGTTTATGGCGCTGGTATTTAAAGCAATTAGTGTACTAAATATTACCAATTTCTTCTTCTGATTTAGTGACTGTGAACTTGAAGCTGCTGTGTAGAGGATCTATTTGGAAATTACACAAGTGTATCTATGGAGAAATTGCCCAGCTTAACAATTGGCAATTGCTGGGGAAGATTCATCCTACTCTTTTACTATGAAAGTGGGAGAGAGTAAGAGAGCTAATGACAGATACTGTCATCCTACTGTGCAGTTGTTCTCTGGCAAAAAAGACAGGAGGTGGCCTTTTAAAACAACCTACATAAAGGAGCGTGGATAGTTAGAAGCTAAAATACAGTTTATCTGCCAGCCCGTGCAGAACTTATTACATATTTTAAGATCCAGCTAGATTCTTTACTGGCAACAGTGCACAAAGTGACAGCTTAGAGGCCAAATGGAGTTGTGCTGGTGTACCTGAGGGCAGTGTTTGCTATTGCAATTAGAACCTAATTAACAAGACTGTTGATGTGCAAGAGGAAACTTGTATATATATATATGTACACCTCTTACTGCTATTATACTAATTGAAGTTAAGAGCATTACAAACTTATTTTATTCAGTCAGCCAGCAGCTATGACCCTTTATTCTTATGTGTAAAGGTGTATGGACTGACAGTTTTCTTGAATGCAGTCACCTGCTGAAGTAGAAGTAGAACTGCGCTCAAAAAAAAAAAAATTGTCAAGAAGATATATTTCTGTGAATATCAAATTCTTCTAACCTAGTTAAAGAGCTTTTTTAAAGCTGCTTACTATTAATTGGAATTTTTATTGTTACGCCTACACAGACTGTATAGTCAGAAGCATTGTATCCTTGATCTTAATACCTGTTGTACTGTCTACCAACTAAAGGAGCATGCACTTCAATCTTCTACAGTTTCAGAAAGAGTTCTTAAAAGGGACTAGTCACTCTTGTGTAGTTCTTGGACTTAAAAGAGGAATCTGATTTTTAAATAGCATCTTGAGGTGATGGCTACTTTTGCCAAAATAAAAACATCTTTTTTGTTGCTGTTTTTGTTTTTATTCTGGAAAGATGGATGTATGGTAGAGTCAAAGTGCTGAGAATAAGAATGCTGTCAAATTTGGGAGCACCTGACTAGAATTAAAAGAAGCAGCACCTTGTAGCATCTGAATTTCTGAGTGATCTGGACAGTTAAAAATTACTTCATTCTTCATATCTTAAATGAAATTGTAAAAGCAAATGGTGCTGTTTAGCCTAGAAAAGTGTAGGAATAGCTGCAGTGGCCTGCACAGCAGCTTTTTCAATCCTGTATTTCCTTTAAGTCAGTCAATATCCTAAGGCTCAAACGTAACCTAGCCTCTAGTTAGAGATGTGAGCCAGAAGGCAAATTGAATGCTGCGATAGCAAAAGCTTTACTAAATCAACAGGTATATCTTTTTTCAAGATATCTTACCTTTTTCCGTTTGCCAGGCTGTGTAGCTGTTATGCAGCTGGCAGTCTAGTTTTGAATAATCTTTCTGCGCTCAACAGTGGTGTAAGTAATGACAACACTGCAAGACATTTTTAAACAAGTAGCTGTCATTCTGGACTAGCTCTCTTGTTGTCACAGCTAAACGTAGAAGGTATTTTTCTGTAAGCCCTAGTTAACAGTTTCAACAGTTTGGTGAAAGAAAGGCAAAATTACTCTGATGCTTGCCTCCAAACTTGCATAGATGACTAACTCAGGAAAGATACAAGTTCAAGAATGGATTACAGTGTTGGTTAAAATATAGGATACCCTCTCTCATGCAATGCTAGTCAAAATATAGGGTACTCTCTCTCACACAAGCTGACTTGCTCTGAGACAATCCCAGGTATCAGCAGAGCCAGACATGGGGCATTCTTCTTGGCTTTCCTCTTAGTTTGTTGAAGAGATCTTAAAATATTTATTTAGGGGCTCTACATATAGATTTCAGAATTTTTCACTAGGCTTCTACATAGCTTTTCAGTTGTAATCAAACTTAATTATCCCAGCAAATCTACATACTTTTATTTTTCTTTCTAGGTTCTGTTGAAATAACTGAAGCAAACCTTGTAAGAGATGTTTTATACGTCTTCCAGGGAATAGATGGCAAAAACATCAAAATGTGCAATTCTGAAAACTGCTACAAAGTAGAGGGAAAGGTACTGTATAGTGACTTGTATTTCACTTGTAAATGGAGTTGGAACAGAGAGGTATGTAGGGGAGAAGTAGCCACAAAAAAGTTATAGTTAAAAATATTAATTCAGGTGTTTACTTGCCTCTTTTAAATACAGCAAAGTAATTTCAATTATTCCTAAGTTATTTGTTGTTCAGCATTTTCTGTACTCAGTCAAACCCCCTTCTTGTTTTGTGTCTTAAGAAAGATGGAGGAAGGTGGCCATCAGGCAAATGCAGGAGTAATGTAGAATGAAATGGCCATTATTTTTTAGGAGGAGGAAACAGAGATGGCTGAAGTTAGTGTGTACTTTTGCCTACTCCCTGTTTAACCTCTGGAGACAAAAACATGGAATTCTAATATTTTATATCATGGATGAAAAGATGATCAGGATTTGAAGAAGTACATGAGTGAGATGCCAGCAGCAGCAGACTCAAATTCCAAACTTTAACACACACACAAAAATGCACATGCACGCACACAAACGCGCACACACACACACACGGAATCCATTATTATTCAAGGAAAGGATAATTTAAAGTTCAGAAATGAAGAAATGCAGAATATAGTAAAATGAGAATCTCAGAAGTGGTTCTGGCTGCTTTTTTACCTTTACTGCTACGAGCAAGATTTGAGCAGAGCTCTCATAGCAAGGACTGAAAGTCTTTCTGTATATATATTGCAGAGCAACATATTAGTTTAAAATGAATTGGGTAATTTGGTTCCCAGAAACAAACTGCAGCACTTCACAGGTTGTCTGGCAGTGGTACTCAGGCTGACTTGTTCTAGCTACGAAGGTAGACTTCTAACTATTAAGCTGGCACAAAGCTGGCTGCTAAGTTATGGCTTGATTTGGGGATTTTTGTCATCATTCCCCTTCCCTCTCCAGTGTGTGAGCATGAATGTGAAGCAGATGTAGGCTTTTGATTGCATTGTTATTATTGGCGATTCTACATGGATTAAATTTAACAGACTGAGATGTGGAATTGCGTGGACTAGATCAGGAGTGTCCAGTTCTGCGCTCTGCGGTACAGGAGAGGCATGAAGCTACTGGAACGAGCCCAGTGAAGGGCTACGAAGATAATTAAGGGACTGGAGCCTCTCTCAAATGAGAAGAGGCTGAGAGAGTTGGGGCTGTTTAGCCTGGAGAAGAGAAGACTGTGGAGGGATCTTATCGATACATATAAACATCTGAAAGGAGGCTGCAAGGAAGACAGGGCCATGCTCTTGTCAGTGATGCTCAGTGACAGGGTGAGAGGCAGTGGGTGCAAACGGAAACACAGGAAGTGCTCTCTGAATCTAAGAAAAATCTTTTTTTACTGTGAGGGTGACTGAGCACTGGAACAGGTTGTCCAGAGAGATTGTGGAGTCCTCATCCTTGGAGAGACTCAAGATCCATCTGGACACAGTCCCAGGCAGCCTGCTCCAGGTGACCCTGCTTGAGCAGGGGGGTTGGATTTGATAATCTCCAGAGGTCCCTTCCAATCTCAACCATTCTGTAATTCTCTGAGTGGAAATGTATATTCTGATGGATGCTAGCCGCTTGATGTTATGACTTGATTACAACATATAAGTGATCAGATGAGATTGTGCAGATCACCCAGGAAAAGCCTGATGATAGAGCTGAAGAGAGTACTGTCAACCTCTGTTGTCAATAACAAATCCAGTTGATATGGATATGAAGGAGAGTGTTGAATAGGGGACAGAGGAACAAGGGAGAAGCCTGAGACAGAGAAGATCTATCTTTTAAGGTGGTGAAGAGATGTTAAGCATATTAAGCACATGTTAGACAATGTGAAAAAGGCAAAGGGGAGATTGGGTGAGCTGATCAAAGAACCGAAAAGACTCTACTTGCTTCACCACCCTCTGTGTATTCAGTATTTAGAGGATGCTGCCTCAGAATTCGATTTCAGCTAACTAATTGTTTTTCATGTGCTTATTCAAATGGAAAGACAGTGCTCTTGATGTTCACCTGAATTAAGACTATCTTATACTATGACAGTATGACATAGCCCTTGAATTTTGGGGAACTGATTTTTGTGCCATGTCATGTACAAGAGCCCAATAAACTTAGTGTATCTTAATGTCAATGAAAACTGAACTAACTGCCATTTTTTATAATAACAGCAAAAAGTGAAATGCATAGTTTTTCCCTGCAAAATTGTATGTTGTTAATAAACAGGGTCTTTAAAAAAGTCTTTTTCTGCACTTGTAGAAGTGCAAAGTTAGTAATTCTTCAACACCTGTACTGTCTTAATTACTTTCTGTCTATAAATTAGATTGTATATGGCAAAGGAATGATATAGATTTTCTAGCAAAGTGTGGAGAAAGTGTAATAAGTGCTAGCAAAATTAGCACTACAAGTTTCATTGTTTTTCTGCATAAATTTCAAATCCCACGGGCTGGTTTGAGGTGAAGCACTGTTTTACTTTGAATTCGTAGTTGTGTTAAGTTAGGAGGAACTGGGTCTTTCAGATGGATTGTGTTCAGTAATGCTTTTTCCTGAGACTTGGTGCCTACAATTATTTTTGTGAAGTCAGTTGTCTTGCATCCTTTTTTCTTATTGGCACTCCTGTTGACCTGCAGCACCCAGTGAAGCTGAAGTTATTTGACCAACTGCCCTGCAGATAGAACTTTTTTGATGAAGAAGGTGGGCTAAGATCCTACTCTAATTGTGTGACTACGTCAGACAAAAAAGTAGTTGAAACATATAGTTTTACCTCAGCTGAGCAAAAGTTTGGAAAATACATCATAGTACACAGTCCTTTTCAGAAAGAGGTGTACCTTTCAAGCTGTTTACTCTTGCCAGAGTGTTCTTTAATGTCTACCTAAATATTAGTCCAGTTGGTGATACTCAGCGCTGTAAAAACCAGCAGCTTCTAATCTGGGCTTGAAGATACAAACGTAATAACGTTAAGCCAGTTTTGCTTGTTCCCATTTGGTTCCAGAGGATGCAGAGGACGTGCAATTGTACTTAATGCTTGCCAAGTACTCTTAATTTTAGAATTCAAAATAACACTTTTGTCATCTGGCTAAATCTGTGGGCAAAGTCTCTAGCTGTGTATGATCATACTTGTTTGGACTAGAATTTTACCTAAAGAAATTGTTCAGGCCTTACAGCTGAACTTACAGCTATAGCTAAATAAGAGGGCCAGGGATGGAACTCTGGTCTTACAGCCAAGAGGTGCTGACTGGTTGAAGTCCACACTGCTATGGCTAGTCCACTCTATAGCTGATTTTTATCTCAGAGAATATGTCTGTACTGCTAACTAAGAAGCTTAGGGAGCTGGCTTGATCTCTAGTTCTTAGGCAATCTGTCTAGCTTCATCATTAGCTCACTTTCTTGCTTTGGTTTGAACTGCTCCAGCTGGCTCTCCAAGACAAAATTGCCTGCAAAGATGAGCTAGGCCTAAGCACTGTGGGTAAAAGTCAGTCTCTGACTCTTGGCCTAATGGAGCAGACATGCTCTTTGTTTTTGTTTGCCAAAAAAATTTGTAAAACCTGGTTGTGTGTATGTTCCTGGCTAATGCAATGAAACAGGGAAGAAGCACATCTCAAGCAGGAGCGGGAGGAGGGGCAGTGTCTTGTGTGTTGGTAATTTAGAGGAAGAAACGTGCTGATTCAGGTGAAGATAGAAATAATTGGATAGGATTTTAGGGTAAGGCAGGCTTGTAGAGGGAGTGAGATGTCTAGTACAAATAAAGTAGAAACAAACCGAAAGAGCTCAGAAATGCCTGTGATTGAATAGTGTTAAAGAGCTATTACTTGTAGATCTGACATAAACTTGAGATTTGATTTGAATTCTCTAAGTTTTGGTTCCTGATGCCTACTATGGCATTGAGTCATTTTTCTTCTATTAAAAGTTTGTTTCACATGTAGTAAGTAGTAACTAACTATTTTCTCTGTGTTCCTTCATTAATTTAAATCATGGACATCTCATATAGAGATCTGAAGTTTTCAGTCTTCTCATAAAATTTCTTCAGATTTCTAAAGACCTCTTTGTTATTGGCAAAATTGCCTAACGTAAAAAGAACGTGTGAATACTGATCCATCAAGATTTCCAAAAGGAAAGATGCCAGAGTGGCCAGTAATTTATTTGTTGCTACTGTCTCTTGGAGACCTATTAGTAGTGTAATGCTGATTATATGTCTGCATTCTTTTTTGGCAGTATCCTTGCTGTAGAATAATTGTGTTTGCTGAACTGGCTTGTTTTATGAGAAACAAAGGCTTTGGGAGAAACCAGGATCGGCACAGTAGATTTGACTCAGACTTATAAATTGTTGTTTCTGTTAACTGCGTAGGTGAGCTTGTCCAAATCTCTCAGAGATACTACAAGCAGACTTGCAGAGTTGGGATGGCTACATAATAAAATAAGAAAATACACAGACCAAAGGAGTTTGGATCGTGCGTTTGGACTTGTGGGTCAGGTGAGTTGACTGAAAAATTGATTTTGCTACAATATTTGGCCTTATTCCCCTTAGGAACTACTGAGGAAAGTGCAGCACTGGAATGATGGGTAGACTTGGAGAATTCATACCTTGGATCATTGATCTTTTGGTTTATTCCTTTTATGGACTGCTGCTGTTGGTATGAGTCAAGGTCTGAAGACAAAGGAAAGGCGTTTATTTTTACTGGTCCTAAGAAGAAGTTGTCCCCTATAACCTGTAGCTGGAAATGTCTCCTGCATAGATTCCATTTTTTTGGAAGCACTTATGCATGTTTATAAACAAAAACATTGCTGAAATGAAATGGTGGCATCTCTGAGGTAATTAATGACCACTTAGTGCTTCAGTGAATGGTGCAGGAGACGTTTCCTGACTTGTCCTCTGATACTGATGTTCATGTGTTAATACTGCACTAACTTGTATGAAATGCAAATATCCAATTATCTGCCGTCCTTTTTTTTTTGACTACAATATCAAAAGAATGTCAATTTTTGTTTTTATAGGTTCCATCATCATGATTTGTAGTCTACAGTAACTTCACAGCTGTTATAATACCTAAAACCACATTTACTGCTAAGGCATTCTCGTTTCCTCTCACTTGCTCCCTCTGTAAAACTGGATATTATCCCTTCTGAGTCGACAGAAATGTTGTTGTCCTTGCCTCTAGCCATAACATCCTACCTAATCTGCAAAGAAATTGAAGTGCTTCTCCCTTCAATCTAATTTTTCTTAAGAGGTCAGTAGAGATACTATAGTGCTTTCAGCTTTTCTTATATTTTATTCTGTTCCCTTCTGTCTCCTATTCTAAGTAACCCTTTTAGTTACATATAAATAATTATTTTTCTAGTGGTCTAATACTGAATTCCATGTTTTATGTAGCAGTGTCACTGTATATGTATTCTCTTCAGATTCTCCCTCTCATATCTGGGTGAAGTTTCTTATTCTTTATCAAGTAGCTTCATGCTTATGCTTATTTTCAATATCTCTGGCTTTAATCTTCAAGTTTACAGCCAGGTGGGGAAATTTAATTCTTTAGTAAATTTTAAGTATGCAGTAACTTAGCTGTGAAGTGCAGGTTTCAGATCCTGAGCAGAAGGCTTTGCAGGTAGTTAGCTGAACCTGCATAGCTCTAATTCTGTTGATTTCCCTTAAGACAAGCTATACTGTATTTCTAGGGCATAAGTATACAAATAAAAACATATATTCTACTCCTGCTTTCAGTATTTGGCAAAAAATATGCACCATTGGTCTTCATTGCTTTTATAGGTGACAATTTCAGGTGCTGCAAATTTGGCATTAAGAATTTAGCACAAGAATGTATTGTGCATTCTGAAGTTTTTGTTTACTGTTTTAAAAGAATGCTGTTCCCCCTTATGCACACCACATGTATGATATTAAGTCTGTCATCTGTTACATGGTGCTGCTGACTGTTTTTTATCAGGCAAAGTGTCAGGTATTGACAACTATTAGGAGTAGAGAGATACCAATGTACTGCACTTTAACATTATAGTGTTCCACCTTTGCTGCTTAGTGTCTAAGCTTTATTCTGTCCTCAGAAAGTAAAAAGAATACTCAGCAATGCAATACACCTTTCTTTGACAGTTTTCTGATTTAAAAAATAAGTCCATTTGAGGTACTGGGAATTGTACGTTTTTGCTCTAGAACAAGCTTTCTGTTTCCTTCCTAAATTCTCTCTTACTGTAGGCCGAATCAGAATTCTAGGATAATGTCCAGTTTTCCATTACAGATTTTTGTTTCCCAAACCGTTGTCTGTGATGAAGGAATTGGCCCAGAGTGCAAATTTTAAACTTCTGAAGTGTCTTGGAAAAGTTCACGGCCGGTTAGATCCTCAATCCTTCTGACCGCTGAAGTCAGCGATACCGTTTTCACATTTTGTATAGATGTATAGTGTCTTTGAATGTTTTGGAGGATCTTACCTGCCCTTGACAAGCACTACCTTAGTAGGCTCAAAACTGTACTGAAGAAGCAAGTGAGAAGAAATGAAAACTGGTGTTACAAATGATGGGATTTCTTTTTGCCCTTCAAAATCCTCTAGAATAGAATGAATTGTATACGGTTGTATTTCTCTTTCTTACACATAAAGTTAAATTGAAGAAAGGAACACTTCTGTTTCCTTTTAAAGGATGTAATGGCAAGAATAATGATTTGTTTTGACTTAGGTAGAAAATGACTCCTGAAAGTAGACCCCGTAACAGAAAAAGGCTTATAGTGCTTATAGTCGTGATTTCTTCCTTGTATATGCAGTTAATAATAAATATTTTACTTTGAGCTCTTGGAGTTTTTTTGTGAGCTTATTTTGTTATTATTATTATTATTATTTTTTATGAATTACTTTGACTGTAGTGATTTTGAAAGGAGTTGCAGGGAAGGGCCTTGGGGAAATTCTTTAGAAAAATGGTGGGGAGTGGCTGTACACTCTCTTGATATTTTAAGTTTCCATGAATATGTCTCTATTCTGCTCGTAGTTGATTAGAATAGAAAACAAAATCACTAGCTGACACAGTAAGAAATCAGTTCTGAAGAAGAATTTGTTTTTGCACAGAAGAGCTCTTTAAAAAAGAGTGCTTAGGAGCTGTCAGTCCAAAATTTTCAACTCAATCCAAAATGAATGTGCCATATTTTTAATTCCATTTGAGAAAATGTCTTACAGGGATTTTTTTTTAGTCTGTATGCTAGATAAACAACAGAAAAGGCAAACCAAAAAAACCAAACAAACTCCCCAAACCATAGGAAGTTATCAATTACTAAGCAAATATTCTTTCAGGAATTATTTTTGAAATCATGTTTTTCTTTTTTTAACCCAAAATAATTGTACTCAGAATTATTTTACAAAGAGAAATCCTGTCTTTAGTTGAGGCCTGTTGAATTCTGCACATTTTATAGTTTTCTTAGGATTATATCTTCCATGTCAAGTGAAGAATCTTGCGTGACTATCAGGTGTTAAAAGGACAAGAATTTAAATAACTTGATCAAGCAGCACTTACAGAGGGAGTATTCTTTCACAAGCGATATGTATTCTTGATTACATCATACAGTCTATATTGTAAATACTATGATAGTTGCCTATCTTTTGTGTTCTGTTATTAGAGGCCCTTAGGAAATTGGATCTCTATTACATACCATCTTTTACACCGCTATTAAAGAGAATATTTCTTTTGGGTCATGTTTTGATTTAAGCTTCCCTGTAGTAATTTTTACTGTCTTAATTGAGATGCTGTATTTTTGTAGAGTTACGCTTCTCATATTTTAATCTGTTGATAGACTCGAGACAGCAGCAACAGAAATTCACTTGTTAATGTGCATGTATTCTTGGAAAAGGACTGCGTTATCTCTTCAGAAAGCACTTATTGTATACGCCCTATTACATGGGCGAATTTTTTAAGACCTGACTTTTGTGCTGAAACTTTTAGCTTGCTTCCTTTTAGGAAATTTCTAACTATCTTCACAATGTGATGCTATAATGAAAGCTGTTCTGCGTTGAGGCAGAAAGAATTTTCCTGATAATTTTTTTTTCTTCCTCTTACAGAGTTTTTGTGCAGCCTTACATCAGGAACTCAAAGAATACTACCGACTTCTCTCTGTTTTGCACTCTCAAGTAGGTTTGGCAGTTCTTATTTAACTTTCTTATTCAGATCATGTAAGGCAAAACAGCTCCTGAAAGGTATACCTGGGTATCCCTTTAGAAAGGGAAGGATGTGCAACAGTTTCTACTGATAGTGGACACAATTCTCTATAGCTTGTACAGGGCTTACTTTTTGGATGTACGTACCAATGAGTATTTTCCTCTTAAAAATTCACCATACAATTTGATGTTTTATGTAAGTAAGGAATGGAATCCTTGTTTCTAAGCCTCTATCCTTTCTTGCTTCATTTCTAGCAGTTTCATTTTGTGTGATATCTTTACTATCATTCAGATCCCGAATATTAGCATGCCATATCTTTGTAAAGGGAGAATTTTTTTTCCAGTATTTCAAGCAATGCATGGTTCAGTAACTAGGACAGTCTCAACTTTTTATTCTGTCTAGTGCAGTTTATAAGTTTTCCTTGCCACTTCCACTGCATTGATAGACTAAGATATTTTAATGTATTATTTTTCGTGTGATATAAACCAACCTGGTGGTGACAATCTGCAGTTTATCTACAAATCTGTATAGGTATGTAAACGAGATCAACGTGCCAGCACTAAAATAAAATTAAATCTCTTTTTGGTACTTACTTACTTTTTTATAAAGGACTTTGAGGGAGTTAATTATTTGTAATTGAGAATGGTCAATTCTTAGAATAAGCTTATTCTTACATAATTGCCCGTTAAACTCTGTCGTTTATGTCACAGGGTTCTGTAAACTTTTTCCACATATCTATTCCTTTTGACTCACTTAGGAATGTCAAACGACATACTCTAACTAATGGAACACGTATCATACTTGCCCTTGCTTGTTCTTCCTGGCTACCATCTAATTACTCTTTTCATAATGTGTGTTTGCTGTCTTGGTTTGCAAGAGCTTAGATTTATTGTAACTTCCAAAAATTTTTGACCGTGAGAATATTGGAATGTGCACACATGTTCAAATTCTGGATGAAACCTAGGTCTAACAGATTCCTCTTTGCTGCTTCACCTCTTGCTTTGTTGCGTTTATCTTAAAAGATGAGACATCTTACTAGTCAGGGTGTCTCTTCACAATGCCAGGGCATTTTTTTTGGTGTCTTCTGAGTATTTTTTTTGAAAAAGCGAGAAAGGGGTTATAGAGAAGGGATTTAATCAACTAGTTGCTCCTGTAGGTGATGAGATAACCTGGTTTGTGAAAATGTGAAAGACACAACATATCGCCTGCAAAGTCTGTATCATACAGTGATAAAGTATGAGCGCAATCTAAGTTAAGGGCTCTTCGATACCTGAATGATATTAAGAGGATGTTCTGAGAAATTTTTGAGGGGTGTTTATGCAATGTAGTGATTTTGGTTAGCTGTTTATCCATGTCTTTTTAGATGATCCTCCTTTCTTGCAACTCTTGACTGATGTGATGTATCAAGAACTGGATTTATGACTTTTTTGAAACACTGCTTTCTGACCATTCTATCCTTGCTGCTCCACTAACCCTTAAAAAGGAGAGATGAGCCTCATGGGAGGGGAAGCATGGAAGGTGAAAGGAAAGTTCTGATGTGACTTATTTTCAAATTGCATCTGCCTTCTGAGTCTCTTTTTGGCAAGAATGATCAGACATTTAGATAGTAAAGTTACTATCCATTTTCTCTTCAGCTGTCTTGGGAAACACTGTGGATGCTGTTCCCAGGTTGTTGTAGCTATCTTGCAGACAGGACTCTTGCAGCAGTGCAATGCTTACTTGTCTTTAATGCTTATGAAACCCATTTTCTTTAGAGCCAAATTCCTTATCTGGGGCTTTGGAGAAAAATAGTGTTGGTTCATCTGTTCCACTGCAGCTGAGCTATCTATATCATGTCTTTTTTCATTAATAAATAAAATCAAATGAATATTGATTTTCGTAGCCTTACTGATTCTTTATTGAATGGGTGTACAACTGACTTCTTAAAAGTATGTACAAATATTAAATCTGATTATTATCAGATTATAAAAATTATATATAACCACATATGTAATATCAATATATATTTATATAGGATTTAGATTGTTGCTGCTTTCATCTCCTTTACAGAATAAGAAACAAAGATTTTCAGTTTCTTTACAGTAGTTTTAGTAATCTTGATCACAGCTTTCAAAAAGCATATCCTGTTTGTTGTTGCCCAGAAAAGTGCTTTGGTTAGTAATGTCCTAACTAGTAGTAAGAATTCTCCTGTGTTTCTCATTTATCAAACACCATTCTTCACCTCTCATCTTATATTCCCTTTACCCTTTATTTTCCCCACTAAAATGTATGACTTCACCCCATTCCACTGGATGGCTCTGACACTTTTTTCCTAGAGAATTTTATGTTCTTCATTTGTTTTCCCATTATAATATGCTCTAATTCTCATTTTCTACACATTTGAGTTTTTTAAAAAAGTCTCTATTTGCATTTTTAATTGCTGTTGTAAGTCTGGTTGTAAATTCACTCGATCCTTTTTCATAAAGCAGTTTCTGACTGGTCTTGAAGCACGAGATACTTTTTGTAGTCTTATTTTAGGAGGCCAGAACTATCTACATTATAGTAGTTTCAACACAGAACTGCAGTTTGACAAAATTGGCTTCTTATAGTTTCCAGGGACTTTGAGGAGGATAGGTAAAAGAGTGTTCTTTATTTATGATTGTTCTATATTCTATATTTTTCCAGTTGTAGAAAGGAGAAGAGTGTGTGTTTTTTAAATACCTAGGTTCTGTATATCTTCTAGGACCCCTTTCATTGTCCATTATTTCATTCTTCTATAACTTTAGTAACAAATTCTTTCTCAGCTCTTTTCCTAATCGTGGAACTTTATCCATGTTTGTTTTAGATAATTCGCCCTGCCTTGAAATTCTTCTATCATAATTTTATACGTGTCAAACATTACTTCAGTACATTACTGACAAGTCTAGAGGTCTGATATCCACGATTCGGAAGGAACTTGGTCAAATTATGCTCTGTGTGTTTTTTTGTTTGTTTGTTTTTGCTCTGGCTGCCAGAGAAAACAGAACATGCATCTTCCTTGTCTTCAGCTCTTTCATCTATAGAGTTATGACTTCCCTGGAAAAAACTTTTTGGGAGATGGCTTTCAACTAGTTGCCCTTAAATGTAATACCTGTTTAATTAAGAAGTAGTAAGGAGTTTGAGGTAATATTAAAGTATGCAAGCTGCATCCTGGAGCTGTGGTTTCATGTAGCCATGTAATTTAGTTAGACTTTTCACGCATCCCCCTCTCATTCATTTGTATAGCAGCTTCTTCTGTAAACAGCAGTGTATTGGGTTGGCTTTTTTCTATCTAGAAAAAGTTCCACGTTTTCATTAAATTGAATTAATTGACGGGAAGCATTAGGCCACATAGATGAGTTACATGTTAACAAGTCACCTGAACCAAATGGCATTCATTCAAGAAGGATTCTGAAGGATTTCAGATGTGAAATTCTCCTTATTCTCCTTATATGTCAGATGCTCCAACCCCTTAATCACCTCTGTGGCCCTTTGCTGGACTCACTCCAGTGTGTCTGTGTCTCTCTTGTACTGGGGAGCTCTGAGGGAGCTGGCTCTTTGGGCCACAGCAAGGAACTCCATGAAGCTGAGTGTGTGAGCAAATAGGTGTTGGGAAGCCCTGGTGTGGGAAGTACAGGGGTATTTTGCCTGGAGGAAGGCTAATCTATCACTTGCCTCCCTGATGCTGAACTTGGCACCAGGAGGCCCAATTTAGGAACGACTTTAGTGTCCTCTCAGGCAGTTGTCCGCTCCGCATTGTTGGACTCAGCATGCAGTGGCCTATATTGGGAGAACAAGGTAGCGGGTGTCAGCATGGCACTGCAGGAGACCTTGGTTTGCTTCCAGCTGGAGTGCTCTGTGCAGGGCTGGTGTCTGCCTTGCAGGAAATGCATCGGGGAGGTGGAGACTAAGTAGGGAGAAGGACAGCTAAAATCGTCAGGAGTATGGGACAGCTGCTGTTTGGGGAGAGGGGAGACAGGCTGATCCTCTTGAGGCTGAAGAGGAGAGGGCTCAGGGAAGGGTGGCTTTGGTTTCTAAAATTATGAAGGATAAGCTGAATACAAAGTTGTGGGATTTGGTGAATGGCTGTGAAAGGAAAGGAATTTCTCGCTTAAATGAGCGGGAGGATGACGTAAAATAGAGAAGAGTGGCCAACTTTTGTGATTTGCTTCCTCAAGATATTGTGGCCATCAACAGGTTGAAAAGGGGATTAGACTAGTTCATGGAGGGCAGGTCTGCAAACAGGTACTAAAAAGGCTAAGAAAGGATGACATTCCGAACACAGTGACTGGGTTTAGGGGGAACCCAAGGGCGATGGACTGCAGAAGAGGGGTCAGCTTTGCTCTCCCTGTGCAACGTTTCCTTTTGTCATTGCTCAGGATAGAGCAGTAGTGCATCTAGCCCATGTTCTGACACAGGTGGGCATTTCTTATGTTCCTAATTGATGGGGCAGAAATCTTTAAGGAAGTCAGAATTCTCAGGACTTGTTCCAGATTATCCCAGAGGTGAGCAATGCTTGTCAAGTTTATTTTAAAAAGTGATAGCAAATCTACTTTTTTGGAAGACTATTTATAAAATTGTACATTTTAATTGCTTGAAAACGTGTAAAAGATTGTGTCTTAGAAGTGAATGCATATTGCTGTATTGTATTCATGAGGTTATACAGGGGGTTTATGAGTTCAGTTAGCTGCAGTTCCATTTAGCTGCAATTCAGGTATAGATAGTACATAACAAGAATCTCATCATAAGAGTTCTGTATTGTCTTCTCTGTAGCTTTTTATTGCTTGTTCAGAAGTTGTCCCAGACATGTTTCTTGCTCTGTAAGTGTCCTTTCCTGCATGTACTGTGTACTTTTCCATCAGCTTTTCTGGTCTTTTCTTTGCAGACTGTTTTTGAATGGTCAGCCTTTTTGAAAATGCACTTCCATGATGAAGATGTTAGCTTATAATTCCTTTTCTAAAGACAAAGGTGTTCTCTTAATTCTGTCTCTTTTATCTCTCTTAGATATTACTAATTTCCATCTTTTTCCAAGATGAATTTAAAAAAAAAAAAAAAAGAAGGTAATCTGGACCCAGGGCTATCAGGTCAGTCTACTGCCATCCACATTAAGCTCAGTCTTAAAGGTAGTTAAATTTATTAGTTTCTGCTTTCCTGGAACCTCATTGTTCAGATGATAGTAGAAAACTTCTTAGTTTGCTTTAATTTGTAGCTAGTCAGTCCTTGTGTCAACAGCTCTCATTTCTTTCTTTCTTTCTCTGTGTTCACACTGGTGGATGTGTAGAGAGCTGGCAGGGTTCATAGGGAGAAGTACATTTTGTTAGCAGTCATATTTTTTTGTCTTGCTAGATTAAAGAGGTCCTACTCTTTTTAATCTTTCCTACTTTCTTTCTGCTTGCCTTTGATAGCATTCCCTTTGCTTTGAGGCCGTGGACTTTCTTGAGCGTAGCCCACTAGAAACACACTAAGTTCAATTAATACAACATATTTTGGAAAAAAACCCGTGCTAAATGTGGAAGCAAAATCTGGGGATATGAGTGGGTTGATTACAGCATACAGGAGGAAAGGAAAACTCTTGGAAAAGATGTTATCTGCTCAGACTGCTCCAGGAACTTGCTTCTGTGTTCTCAGGCTGTGCTCTTGTCCTGTCACAGCCAAATCTTCTTAAGAAGGCGCTTGCAGTGGTCCTAACCAGAAGTATATTATACGTTGAGGAATTAGTGATCCGCATAACAGTTGACTTGAGTAGGCAACGGCCTATGCTGTGCCGTGCTTTGCTGTACTGCACATATCACTTGGCCATAGGATAAACTGAGCCAGCTAGTGGTAACAGAGAAGCCTGTAGGCAGCTCCCGCATGGCAGTGGCAATTATGCCACCATTGTGTCTTTGTCTTTAAAAGAAGCAGCATGTTTCCGTGTGACCATCCTTTTGTTTGACAGCAGAAATGATGAATAGAATTGTTTACCGCCAAAAACGTTCTTTAAGCGTTCTGAAGAACGCTTGAACATCAGCACGGATGGGATCTGTGCAGTGTGTCGTGCCCTGCCTTGAGGTCTGTCCAATGCTGTATAACAGTGTTACCAGCATCTGAAGGGACATAAGGCTATCTGTGCTATCCCCTTTTTTCTTCTCAAGTTCTCTCCAGTAACTATTGTTTTTAACCAATAGCTTATGAAGTCTGAGTGCCTTTGTTACTGAGATCTGTATAAAACGCTTACATTGGTGTATTATAGCACTACATTCACTTTTTAGAAAGCAAAACAGTAGACTGTTCTTTGCCCGTCTCTTGTCAATTGTTGGAAAATGGTCTTAGAGAGGTGAAGTGGCCTTGGCTAGTTATGGGGAATGTTCCCTTTTTAGGAGCGAGGGGGGTCCTAGATTACTTAACCCATCTGTACCTGCGACATACATCTCAAATGCAAATATGCAAATAATTGTTTTTCATTCTCCATGGTGTTGGAAAATGTCATACATGTGGTAGTCGCATTGTAACCATTTTTTCCTATCATATCTTTTAATGTTTGAACAGATGGTAGCAGTTACTTAATCTCATTATATAGCTAACTTCAGTTCTGATGGCTTCTGGAGGAAGGCATTAAACAGGATTTGTCCCGTGTTGGGCTAAACTAAATTGACTGTGCAGTAAGAGAAATTTTACCTCCTGCGCTCTTCAGATTTTTCTTCATTTTTTTTTTTGTTTCCTCTACTTTTTTTGGAGCATCTCTTTGGTCACCATTTGCTATCTTTCAGGATCTCTGCTTTGTTTGCCTCTGCCCTTCTCTCCTTTTGTGACTGACTAGCCATCACCTTGGTTTCTTTAACTTTCTTAACCTCTTTATTCTGTCTGACCCATTCCACTTCTGTTTGTCTCTGTTCTTTCACCTGCACTTGATTATCTATTTCCACTTGTGTGGCTCTCAAGTTTTAGCCCGATGATTTTATGAGAGCACATATAATAGTGGGTACTTTGAGTATATTAGCAAAAGCCAACTTTAGAACAAAAATTATGAAATACCAGTTCTGCTTCGGTACCTGCCAGTTTTGTTCCTTGATGTGTCTGTCTGTTTCTAATTTGATCAGCTGCAATTGGAAGATGATCAGGGCGTGAATTTGGGACTTGAAAGCAGTTTAACCCTTCGTCGTCTTCTAGTCTGGACATATGATCCTAAAATAAGGTTAAAGACCCTTGCAGCACTTGTTGATCACTGTCAAGGTCTGTTTAAAGTTCATTTAATGTTTTTTTTTTGAAGTTTTATAACTTTATAACTTAGCATGCTAAATGTAGATACCAGTAATATTACTGTTATGTTTTTAGAAATGTTTGAGTAGCTAATCCACAGGACTATCTCTCTTTCTTAGTTTAAGTTGAAAACTGAGGAATTATAGTGCTGTTTTGATATACTCCAACTTTTTTTTTTTTTTTTAACAAGGACATACTTAGGAAGCCCTTTAAATTTTAAGGACACACCTTTCACGCTTTCCCAATTACTTAGTTTTATTCATCTTTCAGAGAATATATCACTGTGGAAAACCCTACTAACACACTGTGAAATGTTTGGCATCTCTCAGACTCTTCATTGTGTATGAATACTCCTCTGTCTTTCCTGATGGCATATAAGAGTGATTTGCAACTTGTCTGCTGATTCATGTGAAACAACAAAACTTTACAAACAGTGTATGGGCGTGTTGACAATCTACAAGGAAGAGCTGGGGATTGGTGTTGGAGTTCACCAAAATTTTGGCCAGCTACCAGCGTATAGGTTTTGCTTCTATCTGAAGGGACTTCCGCTATGCTGCCTTGGAAAATAAATTGAGATTGTGGCCTTTTGGAAAGAGCATCTTAACTGAAAAATCTTAAGACTTTCGTTTTACCGTAATTATTGGAATTGGTACTATTTGAAACAAGTAGGCTTTGCTTCCAAGACATTCATGAAAATTTTGAATGCTGCAGCCTGTGCTGGAAAAAACTTTCAGCTGTACAAGTTAAGAGCAAAACAAGTAGTAGATCTGCTTTTTTTGACAGCCTCTTACCTTCTAATTGCAAGTAGACAGGAGAAATTACCTAGAAGGCTCTTTGGGGGACTGAGAAGCAGAAAAGATGTGTCTGGGTGCATGTATGCACACAGAAGGTCTGAGAGACAAGCAAGGACAGGAGAGAAAGAAAACAAGTACTAAGGCTCTTTTAATGACCTTCTGGTGGAAAAAAATCCACAAGTATTCAGTTAACCCTTAGTGAGTGATTTGATGTCTTACAATTTGTGTTGCTCCATGCTAGCATAAAGTAGACAGAACACTGTGTCAGGGCTCTTGATTTACTACTTTAGTAAGATTAGTGATTCATGCTTTAAAATCTAAGCGCTCCCTGTCAACATAAACAATGTATTTTTGCTATATTTTAAAACTGATGTTCAGCAAGCCTTCAGAGTGACATATGGCTAGCTAAATCAATGACTGCAGAAATGTTTAAGTGTGATGTTTTTACTTTTCCTTCATATACTTCTGCTCTTCTCCCCTATGATCTTTTAGGGAGAAAAGGTGGCGAACTGGCTTCGGCAGTTCATGCCTATACTAAAACAGGCGATCCCTACATGAGATCTCTGGTTCAGCACATTCTTGGCCTAGTATCCCATCCTGTACTGAATTTCCTTTATCGCTGGATTTATGATGGAGAGCTGGAGGATACGTACCATGAGGTAATTTATATGTAACAGTACATACTTTATCTCTGTTGATTTGCTTGGTAGGAGTGGGTTTTATGGGAAGCTTAGAGGAGAATTAGGAAAGTAAACTGGGACTGAGCTGTATAGAATATGAGTAGGTTATATATACAGTAGTAACATGAAATATGACTCCTTTTTCTTCATGAATTCAATGCCTGTTGGATGTCCAGGGGATGCGGTGATGCACTATATTGTCTTTAATGAATGATATATTGGGTCCGTTTAGTAGAGGCATGATAGTGGACTAGTAATAGATGCTTGTTACTGAAAAAAGAGACGGTCATCTCCTCTTTCTCTTTCTCTCCCTCTTGCCCCTCTCTCTCATTTGTCTGTCTCCCCCCCACATACACTTCTCTTTCTCCCTCCCTTCCCCTCTTTCACCTTGCCCTCTCAGTCTCCTCCCTCTCGCTCTCCTCCGTATTTGTTTCAAGTAAGGTTCACTTTTCTGTCCTGGTACCTCTCAAACTTGTTTTTCTTTTATTTTTTAAAGATCATTTATTAGCTTTCAACATTTTGTGTGTGTTTAAAAATCTACTTGTGCACTTTAAGAATGTTCTTAATACTGTAATCACTGTGGTATAGCAGAAGTTACAGTTTTCACACTTTTGACACAGTTTTCACACTTTTGACACAGTTTTCACACTTTTGACACAGTTTTCACACTTTTGACACAGTTTTCACACTTTTGACACAGTTTTCACACTTTTGACACAGTTTTCACACTTTTGACACAGTTTTCACACTAAGACAATTGGCCCTTCTTGGTAGAAATGTTATTTGGAGGGAGTAAAAAAAATTCTTGTCTGCAAAATGAATGTCTTGCATGGCAGGATGACAAAACCAATAACGTAGATCATTTCTTATGAAGAATGATGTCTTTCCATGTAGAGATGAGAGACCTTCACATTCTATCACCAGTTCAATTGCAGCAGGATTTCTCATTTTTTGCAATTCTTTCTGCATCTGCTAAAATAGGAGAAAATCCAAAGGGCTTCAAGCGAAAAATAGAATCAATAAAATAAGAGAGTATTGCAATTATATTCTGACCTTGATCTCCTACCCTAACTGTATAACTAGCTGTCTGAATGCTGTCTGTAATGCGGTTCTGTATTTCTTAATGGATGTTTTCTAGATAATACATCTTACTGTGTCCTCTTATTACCTGAGGTAGTCAAGGATTTGCAACTTACAGAAGGAGATTAAATTGTGTGGGGCTGTTCTTTAATATTTTTCCTTCAGAGTTCATATTGATCAAGATGAAATTTCTGTGTCAGTTACCAAGACAAATCTGTATGTTATCTGTAAAATTTTTTTTAGCTTTTCTAGTTAACAAAACAATTCATAAATACTTCTTGGTGTCTCAATACACAAATGAAATACAAGGGGAGATAATCTGTTTCTCTTTTGTTTTTAATATTTTTATCAATCTACAGTTTTTTGTAGCTTCAGATCCTACAGTTAAAACTGATCGGTTGTGGCACGACAAATACACTTTGAGGAAATCAATGATTCCATCTTTTATTACAATGGAGCAATCAAAAAAGGTATGAATAAAAAAAAATCTGATGATGATTTTTTGGCCCTAAGCTGTTTTTTAGATTTTCATTAGGGGAATACAGCTGAAGTTGAAGTATTTGTCTTCAGAATAGCTAAATTAATTGGATTGTTTGTTCGCAGAGGAGAACTATAAGACTATTTCTCCTTTCCATTCTGTAACTGGTTATCTTTGCTTAAGGGAGACTTGAAGGGAAAAGAATTTGCATATAAAACCTTTCTATGTTAACAGTGAGGTTCTGGTTTACTGTGGTTGGGATTGTGAAGCTGAAAGCTAATTGAAAGCTGACACAATACCCTGTTGTCCTTAAGGCTGTGGGGTGTTGTGTCTGTGTGTGTTTGTTTTCTTTTATACACAAGTCATTTTTAAAAATTCATGTTCTTATGTTCAGGTCCTCCTAATAGGAAAATCCATAAACTTCTTGCATCAAGTTTGTCATGATCAGACTCCATCCACAAAGATGATTGCTGTGGCAAAGTCTGCAGAATCTCCAAAAGATGGTAGAGTATCAGTCAGTCAACTTCTCTTCGAACTGAGCCCTGTATAATATATGGTTTAGACTAGAGAGTGGCATTTTGGATAGCGTGGTAGAAAGGAGTACAAAAGACCCACAGGTCTTAAAATATAGATATTTTAGTAGATATTTGCATTTTACAAAAGCTGTGTTGAGAAGCACATGTGCAATTTGCTTATCTTTAATTTTATAGGTTTGCTGGATGGTTGTTAATGTACTGGAATTTTGAATGAAATTAGACTTGATTAACCGTCCATCTGATTTTTCTTTTTTGAGGTGTATTCTTGAGTGCTGCGGTGAGAGTTTAGTACTAGTGAGTTCTCATCAAATATACTTCATCATGTGATTCCATAGTGATCACAGAATCGTTTAGGTTGGAAGGGACCTCTGGAGATCATCTAGTCCAACCTCCAAATGATTTTTTTTTTTTAATTATTCTATTAGTTGTAAATAAGGTAATGCATAGTAAAAACAGAGAGGACAAAAGTCTTTCTGTAATTGCACTCTACCACTATACTGAGTCTGAAGAAAATCGAGTATGTGGAACGTTAGTAAAATTATTTTGGAAGATTACTGAAAAGTGACCTAACGTCACTTTCAGAATTCATTCAGATTATATCTTACTATGTAAGAGAGATTTCAGTTTTAATGAATGAGAGTTTAAATACCATTTGCAGTTATTCTTTGGTGGCATATTCTTTGCAATAAGGTTAGAGTTGTTATAATGAAAGATAGCAAATAGTAAACATTTAGAACACACAGAAGATTGAGACTTTGTGTAAATATTTAGCAAAGGTGATAAGGTAATGTTTAAAGCGCTGCTACATCTGGGGAAAAATGAAGACTTCCTTTCTTCTGGTGAAATGATATTTAGCTTCTTTAACTGCTTCTTATAACTTGTTTAATATACCAAAAAGAGTATAATTTATTAAGATGTAGGTGACCAAGATAATTTCTCCCATGGTGTTTTGTACATGTTTTATAGGAGTTTAGTGAAGTCATGTTTGCCTAGCCAGCTTTTGCTAAGAGAATTATCTAAATATTTGTTTTCTGCCAAGATCTTTACTTAGTCTTCTAAGAACATTCTTCTCTGCACTTTATGACATCTTGTATAATATTTTTTCTGTTATATCCATTCTCAAATATGATTTTTACTTTGTCTCTTGCCTATATCTAAATTTGAAACTTGATTTGGAAATTAATTTAGGTTAGGTTTTGTATTAACTCCTCACAGCATAGCCTTTTAGGATGAGTACTTTCATGAAAGATGTTTTAATAATAAAATTCAATTCCTGCCTGAAGGAAAATTTATCCAATAATGTAATTTTTCTACGCAGTCCTTGCTTGGTCAAAGATGGCCTTAAAGTGCAAAGAGGGTCAGGGGTAGGTTAACAGGGGCTGTAGATGCATTTGAAATATAAGCTTGCCAGCTGCTCAAAAAAGTCAAAAATAGTCTTTGGCTAAGACTAAAATAGTCTTAGTAAGACTAAAAATAGTCTTTAGCTACACAGTTCTCATTGCTTAACACAGAGTTTTTGACCATGCTTTTCACAGAATCACAGAATCGTTTAGGTTGGAAGGGACCTCTGGAGATCATCTAGTCCAACCTCCCTGCTCAAGCAGGGACCTCTAGAGCATATTGCCCAGGATCACATCCAGACGGGTTTGGAATATCTCCAAGGAAGGAGACTCCACTACCTCTCTGGGCAACCTGTTCCAATGCTCTGTCACCCTCACAGTGAAGAAGTTTTTTCTCAGGTTCAGGTGGAACTTCCTGTGGTTCAGTTTCTGCCCGTTGCCTCTTGTCCTGTTGCTGGGCACCACGGAGAAGAGACTGGCCTCATCCTCTTGACTCCCCCTTCAGATATTTGTACACGTTTATGAGATCGCCTCTCAAACTTCTCTTCTCCAGGCTGAACAGGCCCAGCTCTTGCAGTCTTTCTTCAGAGGAGAGGTGCTCCAGTCCTCTAATCATCTTTGTGGCCCTCTTCTGGACTCTCTCCACTAATGCTA